ACAAATTTTAAAGTTAAAAGCTACAATTAATGGCATAGTAACATATTGGATATCTCAATTCTATCGACTAGGTGTATGGTGTCAAGTTAGCACTACATACCATTTTTTCTTAAAAAACGCAAGCTACAAATTTTTTCTTTCCACAACAAGTTTTAAAGTTAAAAGCTACAATTAATGCCGTTATAACATTTTCAATATCTCAATTCTATCGACTAGGTGTATGGTGTCAAGTTAGCACTACATATAATTTTTTCTTAAAAAACGAGAGCTACAAATTTTTTCTTTCCACAACAAATTTACAACAAAGACACTACGATTAATGCCGTAGTTAAATTTTCCAAATTCGAAAAGTGTAGTGCTAACTTGACACACGTCAACAAAAGTAAGTAAAATTAATAAAATAATGAAAAATCTTGACATAGTTTAGTTAAGGTTTATTGCAATAAAAGTCATAGAGGGATATAACATTTTTTATTGCAATAAATGTTCAAATTGTTTACCATCAGCCTTAATACACGCCCTACATCTTCTTAAAAAAGATCTACTTATTAGCCGGGCATATCCTCGAGAGTGGATGTCCTGAGCAGCTGGAGAAATTCGTTCACGCAGCTCGGCTACGCTCTCAATAGGCTTTAAATAAACTTTTTCTTTGAGAACGACCCAATAAAAAAAAATTCAGGGGATTTAAATCTGGGGAACGGGCTGGCCACGAGATAGTGCCTGAACGTCCAATCCACCTTCCCGGATATTCCTGGTCAAGGAAATCTCTTACTTGCACTGCGTAATGCGCTGGGCAGCCATCTTGTTGATACCACATGTGGCGACGATGTGTTAGTGGTATGTCCTCTAACAATTCAAGTTCTCAAGCAGGTCTAAAGGCCCAATAATTTTGCCGTTTAAAATTCCGGTCCACAGGTTTACTTTAAGGCGATACTGGTATCTGTCTTCTCGCATTAAATGTGGATTCGCCACATGCCACTCGTGAAAATTGTGTAAGTTTATGTAACCATCTTTTTTAAATGCAGATTCATGTGACCAGAGAATTTTTTGGATGAATTGGGGATTTTCATTATGCCTCT